AAAAATTTAGAACTTAAATAAAATAATTTGTAGGAGGCCGAAAATTCTGAAAGTAGAAAATTTAAGGATTTGGCCCAATTAGATAATCCAATATATAACTGGAAGTATAAAGATCCTCATTTCCTCTTAGTTGAAGAGTATGAGATTATTTGAGAATAAATATTTTATTTCCCATAAATTAGATATTCAGGAGCGAACTGTTAAAAGTTAAACCCCAATAACAACATTAAATACATGTAGAAGCATGGGGATAGTGGTGGTGATTTCTAGTGGTAGTTATCAGAGGTGATAGTCAAAAAATACAAGCGTGCTTGTCAGTTCTCTTTGTTCTTAAGTGATAGACGAAAAATGCAAGCGATCAATTCTATTTGTTGGGCTCGTTGGGGGATTGTAGCCTTGTAGGGGTTCTCCCACGACTTGGGTTTGGGTTCCCCAGCATTGTGAAACTGTGTACAATCAATTCATTATCAATGCTATTAAATATATCTTTCTCAATATAAATAAGTAAACAATCATTCATCTAGAAATCTTCCATACCATTGCCTATTAGAAAAATAAAATTGTGAGAACATATTTTAATTAAATTTAAAAGTCTTAAAATCTATCATAATTTAAAATTTAATCAGATTATTTGACCTTAATTTTCTTCATAAATTTTTATTTAAAATCTCATGTGATTTAATATGGATTGAATAATTCTTTTATGGCAATTACAGAAACATGAAGGTCAAGAAGATTTTGTTCTCACAGTTTCAATGACAGCAAAGTGAGTTTTTTTTTTTTTTTTCTGTTAACCTTTCTTAATTTAGTTAAGGACTAAATGCATGATTAAAAATTGTTTGATTTGATTCTTAAAAACTAAAAAATCTGATGCTAGAAAACTACTTTAAAAAATAGTAAGAAAATCATCTCAAACAAAATATTTAATGTAGAGTCTGTAATACCAAGCTCTCATAAGAAAATAAAGAGAAATTAGATTAAAAAATTCGTACTAATTAGTTCTTAATTATATCTTACATCTGTTTAAAAAGAAAAAAAAATCCCTGCTTTAATCTATATTTTCAAATTAGGCACTGTCTAAACAAATAAGTTTAACAGGTGATTAAGAATTGCAATCTCTTTTTAATTATCCTTCATCCAAAAAAAATTAATTTATAATAATTTAATTATTGTGTTTTTGTTATTTTGATTTGAAATTTACTTTCACATTTTTTTCCAATTTTTTAATTAAGTCAGTATCCTATTTGAGTAATTAATTATATAGCAGTTTCAAAGCAGCACGAGGTCTTGAATTGGTATTTACTGATTAATTAATATTAATACTCTGGCTTTAGTGACCAACTGTACTCTTTATATTAGGAAAGTTAGATTAATAACAACCTCACCTAAACCAAGAATTAATCATCCAAATACTTGCCTTAAACAAAGTAATTAATCTTAATCATGTAAAATTAATCCAAAGATAGATTATTTATGTTGATTATGCGTGCCTGTTAGTCTTTAATTTTAAAGATAGAAGTAATTAATTTTTTTTTGTTTAAACTATGCTTATTAAATCCGTATAAATTATTATATAATTTTAATTAGCATTCTAATTCTAATTTATCCATAGATAAATTATTATTCTTATTTTTTTATAAATTTTAATTGATATTTAATTATGCATTGGATAGTTTTGGCTTAAAATTTTATTATTTAAATTATATTATAATTTTATATCTTTTTTATTTTCGTCATGAGAGAGTGTGCGAATGTTCAAACCATTCATAATGTATCTTTTAGAATAAAATCTCCTTGGCAATAAGTTTGAAATTAATGGTTCTGCTAGGTTCTTGAAGGAAAAATCTTTAAATCATATTAAAAAGGGAAATGATAATTTTGTTAAATGTTTCAGTATAGTTTGACAGACATTAATTTCAAATTTTCCAATGAGTTGTTTTGTTCTGACTATTAGTAGGGTAGAGTAAGTCAAATGTAAGAATTTCAAAATTTAGACTTCATTTAAGACATCTTTTATAATGCATTCTAAAGCATCTTTTTAGTACAAAATTTTTTTGAACTATAAATTTATGTACTAAAAACAACTTTAGAAAATAATAAAAAAGTTGTTCCAAATGAAGCCTTAGTTGTTGGATTATGAGAAAAGCGGATTATGTGTAGTTTTTTTGAGGTAGTTAGAATTTTTGACTTAATTCATTTTTAACATATTTTGAATTTGTTTGATTTTGAAGAATTCTAGATACATTGCATGTGAGTTTCCTCATGTGTTGCCCCCCCTCCATCCCTGCCCACTAGAGCCATCACCACCTGCCTTTGCCTTTGAATAGCACCCGCTTTCCCAAAAGCGGGTTGAGCGGGGCGTTTAGGGATGTGCTAATGATGGTGGTTTGTTGGGTTGTGAAGTTAATTCTTTCCATGTTTTAAGTGATGTGGGTAATGCCCCATGCGTTTTGACTAAAAATGTTGAATCTTTAATGTCTGTTGAGCAATCTGATTCCTCTGGCTCCATTAAGGATTTGTCCCCTGGTTCTCAGGTTGGTTGCTCTTCGGTTAATTTGGAAGTGGACACTTCAGTTAATCATGCTGGTGTTGGCTTGGTCAACAATGCTAACATTGTCAATGTTCCTATTTCTGTGTTGCTGATGATAAAATGCGTGATCATGTGGCTATGAGTGAAAAACAACCTGTTCTGCGTCCTACTGATTGGTTAACTCTAGAGGCTTCTCCTTCTAGTGTGGAGGATGAGGACCTTTTATGTGAGTGAGGATGAAATCCTTGTTCGATCTTTTGGGAGGAAGAGGGGAGGTAGAGCTAATAGGCGAAGAAGGAAATAACGTTTATGACTTTTTCCTTTTGGGTTTCTGGTTGCTGCTTTTTGGAGCGTGTTGGGTGGCTTTGTTTTGGCTGTCATTGTTGTTTGGTTTCAAATTTGGCTCTTAACAATATTGTAGTGGTTTTTTATGGTGGAATGGACAATGATGAGGAGGCTCCTGCTTCCCCTCTATGACTAAGCTGGCTGGCAACCTGGGTACCTCGTCATTGGTTGGTTGGCGTTCGATTACTTCTACCTATGGATGGTCTGTGCTTGGCTACTAACCTGGTGCTGGGGGCCTCCATCCTGAGTCCCCCTCTTTTCTTATTTTGACTTCTTAGATCCTCTGGCTATTTATTTCTTTTGTTTTTGTATCTGGTCACTGTAATCCTTACCTTTTATTTAATAAATTTATATCAAGCATTATACTAGTAGCTATTTAAAATTAAGCCAATTAAAAGCATTATATACTTAAGAAATTAAATTATTATTTGACTTATGTGACATCTTATTTAATTTTGTATGAAATTAAATATTATGTATTGATCAAATATATTATTTTATTTTAATGAAGAGCTAAAATAAACCTTTTCTTTATTGGCTTCTGTGGTGGTTTGGAAGCTGCTAGTTGGTTGGCCTTTTGGCTCGTTTGTTTTTGGCCAGATGTTTTGGGTTTTGTTTCTATGGATTTTCTGATACCCCTCTCCTCATCTTTTGTGAGCTTGGGGTGTTCTGTGATGATTCTCTCTTAGTTTAGTGGTCGTTATTTTGGCTTTGTTCGGTTTGATTCTTCCTTTTGCAGGCTTCCTCAAGGCTAGTGTGGCTGTTTTTGGTGGGAGCTCTTGCTGATCTTCTGGGTTTGTTTTGATTGTTGTGTTGGTTGGACTGAGGTGTTGGCAGTTACTTCTTCCTATTGCTTCCTTTGTGTGATTCTCCTTCTGGTTTTGTCTTCTTTGTTTGCTTTCTTTTCATTTATTTGTGCTTTGCATTAGATTGGATCAAAGGCTCGCATGTTTTATTTCAAATAATGTATTTTTAGTGGGTTATTGATCCATTAAGGACTTATAATATTTTTATTATATTAACGTGTAAGCCCCTTATGCGGGTTTTATAAAAAAAAAAAAAGCTAAAATAAAATAAATGCACTAAAGTATAAATAAGGTCATGGCCCCCAGCATAAGTAGTTAAGTTCTCATTTTCCTCATTTTTCATCTTGAATTAAAATAAGAGGTCTCTTGCTTTCTTGGAGAACGCCGTTTCAAACGTTAAAGATCGAAAACGTCAAAACTTCATTTCTAAATTTTCAATGGATTCAAGTATGCTTCCAAGAATTTTCTCGATGATTTGACATGTAATTTTGGGGCGTTGAAATTATTTTTTATCTTCAATATATCTTATACATGGCATCATAGCCTGGTTGTCATGTTGTATAACTTTGGAATCAAAATTAGTTTGTATCTAATCTGCTTAGTAAGATGGTAAGCTGAGCTTATTTACTTCTCATTAGAATAAGCAAGAATGTTGTGAATAGGATCACAAATAATAAAGATGAGTTGTTGTACGCTCAAAGAAGACAATATAAGAAAGCACTCTTACGGTAATATCTCAAAATTTGAACAAGTTCATATGGCAGAACCAATTAATTAAGAAGCTGGCAATGCAGTTTTTTGATGTGAGCGAGCCTATTAATTAGGATGTAAAGAAATGCATGGACATACTTCCTTTAGGCTCAAATAATGCAATTGCTGCAACAATTCACAATGATATAGCAATCATTGTGAGAATACAAATAATCCAACCTCTCTATCAGAACCGATAAACTAAAATATTAATAGGCATTTCGGTCAATTTTCTACGTACGCAGTATGTAAGGCTAGTATTTAACAAGTTTGAATGGAGAAAGAAATCAATAGAGGAAATCAACACCAAACATTAATTGCTTTCAATAAAAAATACCTCCTAACATGCAAACGTTCATAAGTTCTCAGCTGATTTGGTCATTAATTACCGACTACCATGATTAATTTGCAAGTAGTTGATCAAGACCATTTCGCTACTCTTGAACATGAGGAGAAGTGAATTTAAGACTTGTTCTTCCCATGAAAGTTTCAAGCATTGCCGACCTCTCTAGATAGCACATTATATATAATCCTATACACCCTAAAGGAAATTCACCACAAGCAAGGTAAAGCTTGATATAAGAGAGAAAGTGAGAGAGATCAGCCATATATTTACAAATTAAGGAAAATGGCTATGTCTCATGACCTCCAGCTCTTTCTTGGTTTGCTTGCTTTGGCTTCCTCGCTTGCAATAGCTACTGATCCCACACAGCTTCAAGACTTTTGCGTTGCAGACAACACGTCAAACAGTACGATCCACATATTTATCTCTCTTGCATTCATTCATTTATTAAAAAAATTTCATCATTTGCAATGCAGAACATACATGAATATGCTTATGTAAATAAATAATGATCTTGCAGTATTTGTGAATGGGTTCGTCTGCAAGGACCCCAACTTGGTGAACGAGAACGACTTCCTCTTCAAGGGCTTAAACCAACCTGGCAACACAGCAAATCAGTTGGGATCGAAGGTGACGCCTGTTTTTGTTACGCAACTCCCGGGATTGAACACACTCGGCATCTCACTTGCTCGCATAGACTTTGCGCCTTATGGTCTCATCCCTCCTCACACTCACCCGAGGGCCAGCGAGATACTCATGGTGATACAGGGCACTCTTGCTGTCGGCTTCGTGGCATCCAATAACCCGGACAACAAGCTCTTCACAAAGGTTCTTAATGAGGGAGATGTCTTTGTCTTCCCGCAAGGTCTCATCCACTTTCAGCTCAACATTGGAAATACAAATGCAGTGTCTATTTCCGGGCTCAGCAGCCAGAATCCGGGAGTGATTACTATTGCCAATGCAGTCTTTGGATCAAAGCCGCCTATCTCTCCCTATATTTTAGAGAAGGCTTTCCAGCTTGATCAGAAGACCGTGGAAATACTTCAGGCCAAGTTCTGGACGAACAATAGCTAGAGATCGATCATTGGTTGCTTAATTGCTTGCCTTCAATTTATTAATATTATTCGACATATATTATCACGGTGTTGTCAGCTATTTTAACAAGCAGCTTGTTTAGTGTTCTATAGTAATGTACTTCTATGCGTTAAATTTACTTAAATATATTATGTTTTTATGTGTTATTTGAAGATTATTAATTGCTTGCATGGCCGTATCTTTGTTCGCTTCATGTTTGAAAGATCAAAGAGTTTATTTAATGATTACGCAGTATTTTTGAGAAGCAATTGCTAGCATGTTGTGTCAGTAAGCTAGCACTGGCTGAACAAATTATTTCTTGCTCAATATTTCTTAATCAATATTTGTTGGTTAAGCTTTGCTTGATTACTAGCTTCTCATGGTAAATTAATGAAAATTTTATAATAATATAGGTTCGGCAAGGAACTACCACCAAGAAGAAAAATTAAGATGTGTTATGTCTGCACATTATTTTGTGTGGACACTGGATGGGTTGTTTGGACAGGAGAACCGTCCGGTTTACTGAGTTTAAGATGTTCTATAGTATTGTACTTCTATGTGTTAAATTTACTTAAACATATTCTGTTTTTATGTGTTATTTGAAGATTAATAATTGTTTGCATGGCCGCCTCTTTATTCGCTTCATGTTTGAAAGATCTACGAGTATATTTAATGATTACACAGTATTTTTTAGAAGCAATTGCTAGCTTGTCGTGCCAGTAAACTAGCACTAGCCGAACAAATTATTTCTTGCCCAATATTTAAACCGCAGTAAACAGGACTCACTTCAAGCAGAACTAAAAAATGGATTCCTGCACATATATCAATCTAAAAAATCAGCTGCAAGAATCAAACAAGAACAAATAATTTATGTCGCATATAAATTATTCCGTGCAGGGACTAGATGCAAAACACCCTCTGGAGACTAATCAGAATGCGCTATATCAGTGGCACTGAGACGCAGTACGGTAAAGAGCGGTACCAAGCACATAGGTGACATGGCCCATTCCGATTGGTCTCCGAATGACGTTCGGCGTCAGCACCTAATAATTTAGACTTGTAGTTCGGTGAACTCTACCTCCAATCAAAATCTCAATAACTAAATATACAGATATATATAAGTACTGAACACAGATTTTAATCTTTGATTAAAATATAATCCACGATCATAAAAGGTCATTGCAACATTTTAATAAGTATATACTGTTTGCAAAATGATGTGATTTTGTTTGGAATTGATTTTCATTGTATTTTTCAGCTGGCCAAAGATCTGAATTTCTTGTTGAAGTTTTGAAAAATAGCTTCACTTCGGCTTTTTATTTAGAGCTTAGGGTTAAATCTCTTATAATGATCGAAAATTTAAAAAATTGCTTCACTTAGTTTAATTTATCTTTTATTAATATTGACTATTAATTATTAATTTTAATTCACTACAATTATTTATTTTATGCACAATTTTTATTTTTTCTTAAGCCTCTCAAATTTATAGAAAAGGTTCCAAACTCGAATGAAAAAAATTGAGGATAATTCATGCTCCAATTCTTCTTCTCTTATTAACTTTTATCATCATGCATTCAATCGATTAGGACCCCTTGCGTTGCACATTAACACACTTTTTACTTTTCATATATTCTTTATTGTTTATGAAAATTAATATAAGTTTATATGCCTATTTATTATGTATAAATTATATATAATATTCATAAAGGCTGAAATAGCAAGCACGTGCATTTTACTAGTTTACTAAATAGACTTCAAATTTGATTTATATGCAATAATACTTTGTTTTCATTCCACAAATAAGATTAAGCTCCAATATTCAAATACCATTTTTTTAAATGCTATTTTCCTATACAAATGCTTGTAAACAAATTTATACATCAACAACAACCATATCAAACAAGGCCAACAAGTCACAAAGAGAGTCAAATATATAATAGAATAATAGTTGTTCAATTTCAAGCATAATCTCATACTAGCATCACCTGCGACCGACACACCGGACAAGTTTGATGTTGTTGGAGCCATGAATCCACACATCTAGCATGAAATACATGCCCACAACTGGGTAGAAGCCTCACTGGATCATCCTCCCCCTCCTCCTCCTTATCATAGTCAGAAAGGCAAATTGAGCAGCAGTCACTGGAGGCTGCCCGCGAATCCTGACGAATGGCTTCTGCATAGTTAGACCAGGTCCCAAGTGTGAGCTCAAGCATAGGGGGAGCGGTGGAACGACGGAAAAACAAGTATAAGTTGACGCCGATGAAAATGATAAGGAAGAGGACGACGGTTGCCATGGCTGTGACATAGCTTGGATCGATGTAGGTCATTTCTTTTAATGCCTTGATATACCCTGAAAAAAAGAATATAACAAATGATAATATGGTTAATAAAAATAAATTTGATTCTCCAAAAAAATAGAAAGAACTTTATCAAGCTGACAAATATAAAGCAACAAAGATAAAAGAAAATTAAAAAATGTAGAAAATTAAACAAGGACAATTTCAATAAAATAATCCTTTTTAATTTATTTATAGTTTATGATGATCAATGTTGCTTGAATGATTATCTTTTTATTTAAGACTTATTTTCATATCAATCTTTTAGAATTGCTTTCCAGTATTTAAGATTTTGCAATATTTATGAATTGCATTTGGTTTCATATCCTCCAAATGGTTGTTGTAATGGTTATGTTCCAATTTTCTTATTTCATTTCAACTAGATTTATTATTTTTTGCATATTATATAACAATCTTTAAGTTCTTTTTTTTGATGAATTTTGTAATCTGAATGTTCTAATGTCTTCTTTAAAAATAAATTAAATAAAGGGATACTAGACAACAATTGTTAATTAAATTCCAAAGCAGTTTATAAACAATGGCTAAATTTTAATCTGACTTACTTTGGTCTAAAAATGTCGATGATGGTTTTTTTTAAGGTAGAAAATTTAAATTTGTTTGTCTCAAGGAAGTTCACACTATATTTATCTTAATTTTTAAAAATATGTAATTTTTATAGAATTTTTTTATTAAAATTTTATTTTTGTTACTTAGATAAAGTGCTCAAATTATTTATTATACTACATTTAATTATTTTTAATATTAAAAAAAATGGTTAATAAAAAATTTTAAAATTTTAGATCGATTTGTGTGGCCTGCTAAGCTGTTGTAACCCAATGTAGTTTTGTTTCTAATTTTTATGATGTGGGAAAGGGAATGAGCTTTTTTATTAACAATTTAGGATCAGATCTAAATTTATAGGCATGTCTCTAATTTAATTTTTGTATAGTCATGACTAGTTTATTATTCAATTTTGTAGCTTCTATTTATATCAATGTACTACAATTTATATTTTTTTTATGAATTAAAAGAAATCTGGTTGATGAGTTTTCTTATACTACTACTTTGAATATTTTAGTAGCTCTGTAATTTATAATTTATTTAAAATAAATATTGAAACAAAATCTAAATAATTCCAAACCTATATCTTGGGATTTACTTGTCATAGCTCAATATGATAGGATATGTACTGGTTGGATTGGGTTGTGATAAATTTTTTATAGTATTAAAGCAATAGTTTTGGAATGAATTATAAAACAGAGCTTTAGAAATTTATTTGTAAGTCAAGTGGGATAATTTTAAGTATATATGGATGTTTATTATTATTTGTTTCATGTGCATATATGTTTAATTATATATTCTTTGTGATTATGGATTCGCCAGACCTAGATATAATTGATTGATGGAGTACAAGTCAGGTAGCTCTTGTACATAGTACAACTCCGGTAGTCAATTTTAATGTGTGTTTTACTAGTCTGATAGCTCAAATGATGGGTAAGTCGCATATAAAGGTTCCTGATATAAGATCTAATGAGGTATATAAACATCTACAAATATTTCTATGATTGAAGCCTCCGAGGTTCGAGGGTGCTATTGAGCCCAAGGCAATATAGGACTGGTTGGAGGCTGGAGAAGACATGTGAAGATATGCAATATCCTCCTGAGAGGGATGTATCATTAGCAATCTTTATGTTATATAAGGAGGATAAGCGCAGGTGGATGGCCAGTAAGAGGAAAAAATTTAGGGGAGATTAAATTCTATGATTAGTTGGGGGGGTTCTCAAATAAGTTTAGATCCTGGTTTGTATCACCTTCAGCAAGATAGCAGATGCATGAGACTTTTTTAAGATTGGTTTAAAATAGCAAGACTATGATGCATACAAGACAGAGTTCACCATTTTGGCTATATATGCTTCATAATTGATTGACACTCCCGTTGAGAAGTACTACATGTTTCTTAGAGGACTTTGAGATAGCCTCTAGTGCTATTTCATATTTCTGATTTTTTGAGCTTTTGGAGAGAGCTCGTCTGATAGAGAACAATATGACGGCTACTCAGTAGCGATGGACTACTAGTAGGAAGAGGTTTGGTGGTGAGACTTCTAACAGTGGATAATTTGTATATATAGAAGCTTTGAGTAGGGGCAGTGTTGCTAGTTTTTAACATTTAGTTAGTGGGGCACTTATATGCTAGAGTTATGATAGATGCCACTTTGATTACTGATACAGGATGACTAGCTAGTATTTTAGATATGGATATGTTGGATATAGGATAACAAAGTGTCTACATGTAGGATTTGGCTGACGACTTGAGCAAAGATTTGAGAGTTCTGTTAGACCAACAGTGAAGCCGAGGATAGTTCCACTTTATACATTTGTTTAGAGTGCTACGGGTATAAGAAATGGTTTTAGTTAAGTAATATGTAAACCTTTTGACAATGGTCAGAGATAGTCTAGTAGTATTGTTACACCAAATCTAATTCAACCACATGTGTATAGCTTGACTCAGCATGAGGCTCATGATGCTCCATATGTGGTTACCGGTACAACTTACATTTATAAGGATTCATATCATATTTTATTCAATTATAGAGCCATCCATTCATTTATTTTTGAGCATTTCTTCATTTCACTAAACTTATCTTCAAATTTTTGTATTATCTTTTTTATTACCATATTGATTAGAGATGGTATGATAACTAGTAAGATTTATTTATGTGTTCTTGTGATTTTTGATATAAAGTGGAGGTATAATTTTATTTTATTACTTATTTCTGCAATTTAATGTTATTTTGGATATATATGGACTAGTTGACTTAGTATGAGGC